CCCCAAAACCCCAAAACCCCAAAACCCCAAAACCCCAAAACCCCAAAACCCCTTCTAAACTGCTAGAAAATGAATAGTAAATTAAGTTTACAGCAAAAAGGATTAGTGTGTCATCTTGCTCTTCTTTTTCCGTGACATATCTGCTAATAAGTGGAAATAGGGATTCACCATTGCAGAGTTATTTTGAGTGAACATTGGATTGTTGATAGGCATGGGGAATCATCCCATCCCAAGGTCATTGAACAAGAGCATTGACCCCATCCCTCACCTATTCTCAGCTTTGTCTTTCCGCTTTCTTGATCCTTTCTTATTTCGCTTCTTTTGCCTGTTTATTGATTTTTGGCCGGTCTCTTTTCGTGGTTTTAAATCGATTTTATTTTTTCCATTTTTGAGATTAAAGAAAATATTGGGATGAGGTAAGCTACATTCCTCCTTCATTGAGTCATTATTAGGTCCACGGATGTCTTCAGTCATCTTTCGATCAGGTTCTGGAACAGTTTCGTTATTGATTAAATTATCCTGGTGCAAAAATGATCTCGAAAAATGCTGAAAATTTTGATGTGCCTCTTCAATTTCATCATTTTGCTTCACCGATTCTTGTTCTTCAATTCCTTCATTATGCTGTTGAAGCAAGTTCATGCCAAACTGGCTGTTCTCGTTGATGATCTCCTTATATGTTAACCTCTTGTTAGTTTCGTCATTATGGTCAACACTCGGAAAAATTGCACTGATATTACTATTTTCACCATGATCGAACATATTCTGTTGTGAGATTTCAGCTTTATTCGGAGTTCCGTGATATGCCAGATAATGATTCGAATGCTGGTTCTTAAACATCATGCTCATCGAGTTCTCTTCATTAACCCTGCGAGACTCGTTGCCAAACAAAAACTTGTGCTCAAAGTTATTCGAGTTGTCATCAAGATTGTTTTGGCAATCGTCAAAAGCTTGTCGAAATCCTCTTGATTTTGAGTCTGGGAACAACAAGTTATTTGAGGGACTTTTTGGTCGTGACTTGTTTCCGATCTTCTGACCAAAAGATGCAAGACTTTTATCATTTTCAGCCTCTTTCTCCTCCTGCCGGTTATCAATCCCCAGATTCATACTTGAGAAGCCTAGTTTAGAATAGTTATACTCTTCGGGAATTTGCTCCTGCATTGGTTCATGAATTTTTATGTCTAATTTCTGACTTGAATTTTTCGAATCTAATGCATCTTTAATAGTATCTTTTTCATCGTTCTTCACTTTGTTCTTATTGCTAAGGTTCTTAAACGAGAAAGACTTGTTATCAGCAATGGATTTATTACATTTGGTTGGGTGCCCATCTTTGAGAGCTTGGGCAGCATCAATAGGGATATTCACAACACTTTCTCCACATTTTGAAGAATTTCCAAGTTTGCCCTTAAAACTAAGCTTTTCTTCTTTTTGAGATTCACGAGCCGAGATTGACTTATTTCGTAATTTTTCAAAATACTTCACGTTTGAGTGTTGAAACTTATTAGACATGTCTTCTACAGACTCGCTATCACAATCCTCCTGGTTATCATCAGAAAGCTGTGGATCTTCATCATCTTTATTTTCCTCGGGATCACTTTGACATATCACCCCAAGTTCCTTATTTATCAAAAAGTTGATTATACAGATCAGGATTTTGCTCCAGCTTCCACAGCACAGTTGACATGAAGTCCAAAAATGCTGGCATTATCTTCTGTACTGGGACATCCTTAACCTTGCTAAGTTTCATTATCTTATCTTTCAAGTTCTGCATCCTCTTTTTCTTTGTTGAAATTTTAGGAGAATTTCCTAAAAATTAACTTAAAAAATATCCAATTAAATTTATCAAATTTTAACAAATTCCAAGAAATTTGAGAAAATTTGCCAGAAACCCATCCAAATTTTGGATGGAAAATCTGACAGAAAGTACTAGGATTAGCTAACTCCCAGGAACTCCTGAGAGTTAGAGGATAGTAGGGCTTACCTTTTCTCTTCTTATTTGGTTTTCCATTCTATAGTTCATGGTGAGACACGAAGAAAATTTGAACAAAATTCTTTCATCAATAAAATCCGGCAGATAACTGCAAATCCAGTAGCGGTTCTGGCTTGCCAGAACCGCTCTATGTTTTGGAGATAGGCCTAAGTTTATGTTGAGGAAAGAAACAGCCAAGTTCATCCAATTCTATCTGTTTTAGAGCATGAAAAGATCTGAAATCAAGCTACCTAAATCGAATTTTGCAAATTAAATTTAGTATCCAATAGTTGATGTAGTGAGAAAATGAAGATATTAAAAATACTTCCCCCATACTTACCTTTTGCTTCTTAAAAATCGGGTTATATTGGCAATAATTATGCTTCTGGTTGGGCAAATCCAGTAGTGTATTCCCTAGAATATCACCGAGGTGGCTATGGGGAGATTCTGACTTGCTTTCCTCAGCATTTACAGAGCACTGGTCTTCGTCTGCCTGTTCATCCTCAATTCCTTGATTTAATCCAAAAAGTTCCTTCGGGTTTAAAATATTATCAGGGTCTGAAGAATGAGCAGAAATTGAAAATTGTCCATATTCTTGGTTTTCGTTATTATTTAATCCTGAGTCTAAATTACCCTCATGAACTAGCTTGTTAGCACTAATATTATTCTTCTTGCCATCCCGCACTTTTGCTTTTGTATGCAGTGAAGTCATTTTGTATATTTATTATTATATTTTCAAACTCATAAAAAGTTTATGGGGTTTTGGGGTTTTGGGGTTTTGGGGTTTTGGGG